CAAACACGGTTAATCCACTATTTTAGCTAAAGATTACATTACATTTGAGCATCCACTATCATAATATTGCCCACCATACTGCTAGCAGCCTAGAACTGCTTCTTTTTGTAGTTTCGACATCTTCGTAACACCGATATTTCAGTTCTTATAGATATTTTCAGGTACATTAATGTGTATTGTAAAATTTACTGCAATGCGTAAGGGCTAAGTACACAAGATTACAGTATTTGCCCAGTTTCAAAAGGCTCTTGGTTCAGCTCTGGGGCGAAGCGTATGAGCACATCCTCTGTGCACTATTTTACGCGGACTCCTTGAGTCAAAACTTGCTTTGTGCAAGATGCAGATCATGATGGTATATTTATATCCAGACGATAACCGGTTTGATGTCACTGATATTTGTCTCGAACATCGATTGGGCTGCTTCAGATACCGGTATATGTCATAATCTTCAGTTCTTGCAACCGTAAAATTAAGTTGACAATTGTATTCACAATGATATCCATGGGATGCATCACTAAAACTGAGGTGCACCGCAAGATGTTCGACATGGATCCGATATCAACTATCCTTTGTTGTTTTAAATGCTTAGCTAGAGTCACGGATTTATGTGAGCCTCAGTTTTGTCGAGTCCTCTTCTAATTTTTCATGTTTAACCTTTTCGAGTTGTTCTGACGTGTGGTAGTAAGATTATTGAAAGTCCAAATGTCGGACATTGCTGAATTCTCACCTATATGTGACTTAGTACTTGCCGGACACATAGGACACTCATTACGCAGCAGTGCTTACTCGACAATAGGAGTCGGACGAGGAAGAATTGGCAGACTAACGACAAAAACGATTCAAAACCAAACAGTCCAGCCATAAGAACACCGACAGAATTATCGTTGCATGTGTCCTTTTTTGTCCATTGATTGGTTATCTGACTGCCATAATCTTTTCCACCCATCGGATACATCCACATGTACAATTCATCATTTTGCGTGGGATGATACGCGGTTCGTTGTCGACACTGCACCGCATCGGCCGTTCTGAGCCTGTGCGTCACTCCATTCGTTCTACAGCCTACTTTTTGGCATCTTCACCTAGTGGTCAACAATCAAACCTTACATGGATCCCGGCACTTGCGTCGGGTGCACTCGGCATCCTTGGCATCTCTCTGTTAAACGACAACCATTCTGATTGCTGTGGGATCGTAGGTGTCGTGGGCAAATCTCAAAATGCGTCCGATTTTTTGCTGGAAGGACTCACTATCCTGCAGAATCGCGGTTATGATTCGGCTGGTATGTCAACGCAACCTAGCACTCAAAATGGCGAGTCCGCAGCCATCACGACTACAAAGTTTGCCTCGGTGGTTGGTACAGCTGACTCGATTCATCTGCTTCGAGAGACCAAGGACAAACATAATGGCAACACGACTGGCATCGCGCACACGCGCTGGGCCACACACGGCGCTAAGACGGACTGCAACTCACATCCGCACACAGACATGCATGGCCGCGTTTCATTGGTACATAATGGTACTTTTACTAACTACTACGAAGTAAAGCAAGAGCTACTTGACGAAGGTGTAGTGTTTTCTTCACAGACAGATACAGAGGTGGCCGCACAGCTAATTGGGCACTTGATAGGGGAGGGTGCTGATCTCCTCACGGCCGTGCGTCTTGCATTAAACAAGCTTGAAGGCACATGGGGACTCTGTGTCATGTCTCGAGATGATCCAGGAAAAATTGTCATTGCTCGCAACGGTTCTCCTTTGTGTATTGGGTACGGCTCAAACGAAATGTTTGTAGCATCCGAGACGACGGCTTTCAGTCGCTACGCGAAGCAGTTCATATCGCTGAAGGACGGAGAAGTGGCTGTGATTAAGAGCGATTCCGCAGAATTAAACCCCAATGACGATGGTAAGGAAGAAGGATTTCTACAGCGTTTTCCGACCAGTAGATTGGCTGTGGCACCGGATGTGAAGGTGCGTCTCTCGCCGGCACCGTATCCACATTGGACTCTACGTGAGATAATGGAGCAGCCCAAGGCTGTTGCTGCCGCTCTGGGCTATGGTGGCCGTGTTTCAGATGACCACGTGTATCTCGGGGGACTTGAGGCGGAAAAAGATCGTATGCTGCGTATCAAGCACCTTCTGATAGCTGCATGTGGGACATCATTGTACGCCAGCAAGTATGGTGCCAGACTGATGCGAACGCTCAACTCGTTTGACAGTGTCGCTGCAGAGGATGCATCCGAGTGTACAAGCGATCGATTTTCAAAGAAAGATGGTGGTCTGCTTGTAGTGTCGCAGTCTGGTGAAACCAAGGATGTCCATCGCGCATTGAAAATTGCAGAAGAATTGCAACTTGAAGTGCCAACATTCTCTGTTGTGAACTCGGTAGGGTCTCTCATTGCTCGTACAACAAAATGCGGTGTGTATTTGAATGCTGGCCGTGAAAATGCTGTGGCGAGTACAAAAGCTTTTGTTACGCAAGTCACGGTTATGGGTCTTATCGCCTCTTGGTTTGCTCAAAATCGCCCCGATGGTAATCGATCGAAGATGGCTGAGCTAATTCAGAGTATGCACCGCCTTCCAATTGCTATTGGCATGGCGTTACGCTCGCGTGAACAATGTGTAAAGATTGCTGATCAACTCGTTTCCGCTGAACATCTTTTTGTTCTTGGTAGGGGTTACGGTGAGCCCATTGCATATGAAGGTGCTCTGAAAATCAAGGAGATCACATATTTGCACGCAGAAGGCTACCCTGGTGGTGCACTGAAACACGGACCCTTTGCGCTAATTGAAGGCGAAAAAAATGGCAAGTTTGGTGCAACGCCTATCATCCTAATTGTGCTAGATGATGAGCACGCCACCTTTATGAAGACGGCGGCTGAGTCTGTACGAGCGCGTGGAGCTCACACGATTGTCATCACCGATAACCCGGCCATGTGCGCAAACATCGCCGATGAAGTTATTCCAATTCCGACAAACGGTCCAATGACGGCACTGCTTGCAACGATTCCTCTGCAGCTTATTGCTTATGAGCTTGCAGTGCGCAAAGGCATTAATCCGGACGTGCCGCGCAATCTAGCTAAAGCTGTTACTGTGGATTAGATATGCAATTTTTTTTGCACGAGCTTCTTAAATAGAGGAAGAGTACTTTTACAATGTAGTGGTTCCTTGCTCGGTGTGGAGATTTCAGCAATAAAGCAACAATGGTGAACGCAAAGAAGAGGAGAAGATCTTGTGATCTCGACTTTAATCTGATAAACTATCAACGTACAAAATGTCAATTTTATATCTAATAAGTGTATAATGCAGACGTACCACTTTATACACATTTTATTCTATCTCTTATCTTTCAGCACAGTATACTTATAGCTCCTCTATGTTCAATTCTTTGCGGGTCCGCACTTGAACTTGACAAGGATTCCGTCATGTTGGCCACCAAACATCATCGTGTGCTGCGCCAACCCTTTGTATGCTGTTGCCTTCTCCATGCATATTATAATGCACTAAGTCTGACCTTTCCAATGCTAAATTACGCAGCCTCCAAGCCGATGGTTGAGCGCGCTCGTAAACGACGCGACTTCTCCAATCCTTACATCCGCTGCGCGTAAACTGGCTTTTCGTGAAGAGCTAGATCAGGCTCGAAAGCGCGCGCTAGACGGAGGTGGTGCGGATCGTGTGCAAAAGCAGCATGAGAAAGGAAAGCTTACGGCACGCGAGCGTCTTGAGCTGCTTTTGGACAAGGGCACATTTCGTGAGTATGACATGCTCAAGTCGCATCGGTGCTCGGATTTTGGTATGGAAAAGCAGCAATACCCCGGAGATGGCGTCGTCACTGGACGAGGGCTAATCAATGGACGCCTTGCATTCGTCTTTAGCCAAGATTTTACTGTATTTGGAGGCAGTTTATCCGAAACTTATGCTGAGAAGATTGTCAAAGTCATGAAGAAAGCTATGGATCTGGGAGCGCCCGTAATTGGACTAAATGACTCGGGTGGTGCACGTATTCAAGAGGGTGTGGCATCATTAGCCGGTTACGCTGATATTTTTCAGCTCAACGTGCTAGCGTCAGGGGTCATTCCGCAGCTTACCATGGTCATGGGACCTTGTGCTGGTGGTGCTGTGTACTCACCTGCTATGACAGATTTCATCTTTATGTGTCGTGACTCGTCTTATATGTTTGTGACTGGACCTGAAGTCGTCAAGACGGTGACGAACGAAGAGGTTTCCCAGGAAGAGCTCGGTGGTGCATCCACTCATACCAAGATTTCGGGTGTAGCACACTGTGCATTTGACAATGATGTTGAGGCAATTCGAGAAATGCGTCGCTTCTTTGATTTCTTGCCACTGAATAACAAAGAAAAAACACCGAGGCGCCAGTCATATGACAACCGTCACCGCCCTGTACCTACGCTCGAGAGCATTGTGCCACCAGATCCGAATGTGTCGTACAATATGAAAGACATCATATATCAGATCGTAGATTCGTTTGACTTTTTTGAAATCATGCCCGACTACGCAAAAAATATCATTGTTGGATTCGGACGAATGGAAGGCCGCGTAGTCGGCATACTTGCAAATCAGCCCATGGAGCTCGCTGGCTGCCTAGATATCAACTCATCGGTCAAAGGAGCTCGCTTTGTACGCTTCTGTGATGCATTTAACATCCCTATCATCACACTCGTGGATGTTCCTGGATTTCTCCCTGGTACAGATCAAGAATATGGTGGTATTATCCGTCACGGTGCCAAGTTATTGTATGCCTATGCTGAAGCAACGGTACCAAAGATCACGATCATTACGCGTAAAGCTTATGGTGGAGCTTACGACGTCATGAGCTCTAAACATCTTCGCGGCGACATTAACTACGCGTACGTGGCTAGCTCTTCTGTTTGTTTGAATGCCATTTCTGCTCTGATACAAAATTTTGTTGGCTATGTGTAGGTGGCCTTCGGCTGAGATCGCCGTGATGGGGGCTAAAGGCGCTGTGGAAATCATTTTTAGAGGGCAGAACGTGGAAGTAAACACTGCAGATTATGAGAGAAAGTTTGCCAATCCCATGGTCGGTTCAAGTATTTTTTTGTGTTTATGCATATTGAAGCCGCTCACTGTTGTCGTGTCCATCACCAAACATACTTGCAGGTTGCGGCCCAACGGGGTTTTGTAGACGACATTATCGAACCTGTGAACACTCGCCGTCACATTTGCGAGGAACTTGATGCACTGGAGACCAAGAATATCAATAATCCGTGGAAGAAGCACGGAAACATTCCACTTTGATTTCCACTAAGGTTTTAAAGAATCACTTAATTGTGAGACATTGTGACACCTTCTGGAGTGCTCTTTTAACTTGGTGGCCGTAAATACAAGCGTTGGCGACAGTACTCAACTTGCACACGACTTCTTGCCTTTACTAGAATACTATTGATGCCCTGCTAGACACAAAGTTGTCAAGACACAAGCCCGTGATTTTGAAGTGCTTTAAACGATAACGCCACACGCTAACTATACTACTTTGACCTGGTATTACATCATTTATTGTTTTCTACATTCAGTGATCGACGGTGCAACAGTGTTGCCGTGAAGTTTGCCTAAAAGAAACTTTGGCTCTAGTGAGTCCGAGTGTACTAATCGCTACACCAAGAGCGGAATCAAGAATCCCGCCAATTCTAGAAATCCAGTTTGCTTTACTACTTGTATGTCTAATTTAAATCTAAAAAGAGCTATTAAAATATCTGCTAAACTATGCGACGATATGCATGAGTTATATGGTACATACCTGTTATACCCTTTCTTATCACAATGTGGACAACAGGGACTATTATCAATTTTATCTTTCCAGGACAATGCGCAAAGTAAACGTCTTTTACCTTTTTGCAGCCTGGCTGCCGTAGCAAAACGCTTAAAAAGGGGACTTTAGGTTACCGACCTTTCGTTCTTTAAAAGAACCAAGTATGAGTAAGCGGATCGCAATCCGCTTACTCCAAGAGTGATTATTGTCTTCCCAAGTCTTCGGCTTAAATTCCGAACTGATTTTTATTTAGTTTTCATCCTAATTTTTTTTTTAAAAGTTTAGATTTTCCTAAATATACTAAATATATATAGTAAAATCTAAATACATGCATAACTACTGTATTCTTGTATGGGCGTGGTCACACCATGCACATTTCGTGTGACACACACACCCCTGCTATTAGGGTTCGTGTAACCCCGTTACATTTTTCCTCTTTTTGCAACCTAACGCGATGGCCCTTACAAGCATCATCTAAACCAAATATTCATTATCTTGCGTGCTCACATGGCTGCGCGGTCCTCGCAGGTGACAAATTATAAGTCATAGCCAAGCCGGAAAATTTCTCCGATGAAAACTATCAAAGTGACTATCCGAGTCCCGACTTGGCACTTATGTTCCACCTAGAGACATATCGAGGAGCCACTAACTGTCAATGAAGCGCTCCCTGTGCTTTGACCTCCTTCGCACAAATTGCGCACTTTGTGTCCGTTCCTAACGGTGAAATGTGTGACGAAATTCAGCCTCGTAATTCACGATGACGTTCAGCACATAAAATGATAACCTGGTGCCGGAAGCTGCGAGTGCAAGCGATCTGCAAGTACAATAGTTGCAATGACTTTTGCTACCTCGTGATCATGTATTCAGAACATTAGAAGATACCCTTATACAAATGCATGCAGACCTTGCGCTCGAACAAAGAGCAAAGCATATGTCCGAAAGTCGTCCGCGAGCGCTTCCTGAAATCTCCATTTCTCTGGAGTGCAGTTTTCTCTTGGAACAGCAGCTGAGAACCAAACACTAATTTTCTGAATGATATTACCGTGGCTTTTGAGCACTGGTAAACTGCTACACAAAATTTTACTATTTTAGTGCACTGGGTAAAGAAGACATGTGTCTCACTCGTCTCAAATATTTACAAAACAAAGCTCAGAGAAACAGAAGTTAAATTAGTGCGTCGTTTGATGCTTGACTTTTAACGTACAATGTACAACGAACGACGTGAACCTCAAGACAGATGCTCATCACCTTAAATACTTGCTGATTACACCCATGCTCTTAATCCTTTTCTTGCTACATGATAGTTTTGGGATAGAAAATCAATACAAGTCCGGGCTCCATTTGCTAGTAAGAAGTATCCCACTGAGCGACCTCATGTGTATCCCGTCTGCCTCTGGCATGTGCATGTATCTTATGCACAATAGTCACATGAAGCTAAATCTCAACGAGATAAAATCACGGGCTGGTATCATCAAGTCGATCGGTACCGACAACTCGCCCCAACATAAACCATTTCACCGTAGTCTGAAGGGAGATGATCACCCCAATTACGTAAGATGACAAAAGCCTGTCAAGGTATGTAAGACATTACTAAGCGTAAAATCAATGAGCAAAAGAATATTGCTTAAGCACAGCTACAGCGGGGCTGCCGTAGCTCTTTCGCTTAGAGGTAGCTTGGGTAAGGTCGGTGACCTTCGTTCTATACATAGAACCAGCACGAGTGTAGCGGATCGCAATCCACTTACTCCAAGAGTAATTACGCCTTCACTCAAGAAACGCACACTTTTAGGTAGGGCAAAGCCGCCTGTATCTAAATCGATAGGTTTCCTACCTAAATAGAAAAATCTAATTAAAAGTATAAATATCGGCAGTCCAGCCACGTACTAGCTTCTCGTTTAAGTGGAACAGCACCATTGTGTGGTCACACCATTTTGTGTAACCCACATCATTGTGCGGTCACACCATCATGTGTGACCCACACCCTTCATACCAGGGCAAGTGAAACCCCTCCAACATCATTGTGAACACCTACAGCTCACATTCAACTGTCGCCTCAAACGTGGCTTACGTGTCTAAGACACCACAACATCACCAGGCCCTTTTTCACGAAATCTATGCTCAATGAGTTCTGTGTGGAAGACAGGGAAGACACCCAGCCTCGCTGGTTCCGAGAACGCCCGCGGGCAAAATTCTTCTTCGTCTACTACACGCGGTGCAATTTCGGAAAGCACGTTCAAGGCTTCAAGGGAAGCGCAGTCCAAGCTCTCGGTAACCGAGTACCGCGCAGCGCATTTTCAACGACAGGGTCGCACGACCAAGAACACAGACGCGATATCTACTCCCGACCGCGCAACGCGCTCGCCACGGGCGATGGATTACCTCGTCGAGGATTTGAAGGAAGTCGACTACGAGTCGGATACTCCATTTTTAATGATGTGAAGAAGAAGTGGGCGAGGTGCCCCAGTGACGCGAGGTACCCCAGTGACGCGACGTGAACCCTACTGGAACTTTGCGGGCATCGTGCTTGATTCCGAAAATCTCGACATCCGGGGGAAGTGGTGTCATAAACAATGACTTCAAAGGACACAGGAGTAGCAGCTGATGCTGTCCCTGGGAGGCTCTCATGCGCGCGCATATACGGTCAACCGTTGACCCTCGTGTAATGCGGCGTTCGCTCGACGAATCCCACTACCAAAGCAAAAGATTCGATCACTCGATCGTTGGGCGACAACATGATCGGACCCCCGACCTCTACACAAGCTGAGCTTGACAAACGAAAAGCTCTACGAGCTCGCTTCTTGGTTTTCAAGAAATCCTGCTAGATACATACCGCACTCGACTTCGTGCTCAAAATGGAGGCGCATATATATTCACCATGCGGACAATTCCTGTGGTTCTCGCTCCTGACGAAATCGCTGCAGACGAAGCGCTCTTTGAGCGATGGGTGTAGCAGCACCCGAAACGTTTCTCGTTGTACAACTTACAGTTGAGCCACAAGGGGGTGGACGTGCGCGTGGTACGCCATCTTCGATTTGAGTTTGCCGAACTCAAGGCGCGTCACCGACTTTCTTCGGATTGTCGCCCTGCAACGTATGGGTTGATCCATCATGCTCCTGCGAGCTCTGCGGTCCCACACACGAGTGAGTCTGCGACCATAGCTCAAGCTCAGCTCATGGCCGTTTGGCTTTTCTGGCTATTGCCGAGGAGCGCGGGGCGCACAACGACGCGAAACGTCACGATTTCTTAAATCATTAGCGTCCACGACGTCTGGGCCTGCTTGCCAAAGTGGCACTTCAAACTCCCGCGAGTTCTTAAAGTCAAGGTATCCCCGCCACTTCACAAGATACTGGATTTGACCCTCGCGACGACGTCGACCCACAAGGCGTTCCACGTGATAGTGGACACCACCGTTCTCGTCGAGAAGAGTTGGCAGTGGAAGATGAAGACTTGGTCTATCGTCGTCCGGTCACTAGCGATGCTCTTCGAGCTCTTGAGGACAAGGTCCGTCGCGATCGGGACTCCAAGGAGTATCGTGCTGGGTTTGCTTTCCGCTGTGCGAAAGACCTAGAGAGCCTGGAGCATTTTCTGCACAGACTGCCTCGCGTTTAGGACGATCGCGCTCTTTTGGAGCAGCTCCTATTCAATAAGCAGTCGAATGCGTCGCTTCATGCGGATGTGGAGCGCTTGGCGCCGTCGGAGATGAAATTCGTTGCATCTGTGCTCAAAACCAGTTGCTGATCCAGCTTTTGGATGGTCGAGTGCCTGTGGGCATTGCTCCGGCGCCAACGCTTCCGCGTTTACTTGCGCTGGATCCCGGTACGGCTTTATTAAAGCCACATAGAACACAGGGTGGGTCCGCACCCGTTTTAAAAAGTTTAGCGTATGCGCAATACTTTGCTTGGCCACAGCCTTATAGGTCCGATAAACATTTGACGGACCTTCGTCTTACAGACAGCAGAAATTGCATGGGTGAAAAGGTTTTTAGTATTTAATAAAATCAGGTCTCCGATCTGAAAGCTTTTCACATTTTCTCTCCATCTTCCGTCTGAATATTCCTTCTGCATGTCTTGGCTTTTAGCCATCGCATCGCGAACGTGTCGAAAGACGCTCAGACTGGAAAGTCATTGACTTCTTTACGAACACTGAGAGGGCTGAAATCAGCTAACCGCTCGGCTATCCCTTCCCCACTAAACCCTGAATCATGGGATGGCGGCGTCAGCTAGACGCAAGGATGAACGATCCTGTTCACGTAAAATAGCGTGTAGCCGGTAGACGAATGCATTTTATTGCTTACGAGAACGCTACGAATGGCAGCGTGACGCTCTAGTATCTCTAAGTCTCAGCGTGAGAACTGCGAAGGACGTCCTCGATGAAGCGGTTCACGCGTTCAGTTTGAACACTGTTCTGCGGATGGTCCACTGTTGACATATACAACTTGGTGTCCAGCACATTATAGCTCGTTGACCAGAATTCCCAGTATAGCGTGGGC